ATTTTGTTACTTTTAGCTGGCATTTTGTTACTTTTAGCTGGCATTTTATTAATTTAGCTGGCATTTTATTTCTTTTAGCTGGCTTTTTATTACTTTTAGCTGGCATTTTATTACTTTTAGCTGGCATCTTATTAATTTAGCTGGCTTTTTATTACTTTTAGCTGGCATTTTATTACTTTTAGCTGGCATTTTATTAATTTAGCTGGCATTTTATTACTTTTAGCTGGCATTTTATTTCTTTTAGCTGGCTTTTTATTACTTTTAGCTGGCATTTTATTAATTTAGCTGGCTTTTTATTACTTTTAGCTGGCATTTTATTATTTTTAGCTGGCATTTTATTTCTTTTAGCTGGCATTTTATTATTTTTAGCTGGCATTTTATTATTTTTAGCTGGCATTTTATTTCTTTTAGCTGGCTTTTTATTACTTTTAGCTGGCATTTTATTACTTTTAGCTGGCATTTTATTAATTTAGCTGGCATTTTATTACTTTTAGCTGGCATTTTATTTCTTTTAGCTGGCTTTTTATTACTTTTAGCTGGCTTTTTATTACTTTTAGCTGGCATTTTATTATTTTTAGCTGGCATTTTATTTCTTTTAGCTGGCTTTTTATTACTTTTAGCTGGCATTTTATTATTTTTAGCTGGCATTTTATTATTTTTAGCTGGCATTTTATTAATTTAGCTGGCATTTTATTATTTTTAGCTGGCATTTTATTAATTTAGCTGGCATTTTATTTCTTTTAGCTGGCTTTTTGCTTTTCTAGTTAGCATTTTGCTGTGTTTATTGAATGTTTTGCTACATTTAGCTAGTAGCATGCAATATTTAGTGTCAGCTATTTTGACAAGGCCCCTCCTTCACATTAATTTTCACAGAAAAGCAACATCCTTCTTTATGCACGTTTATTTATTTATTTATTTATTTGTTTGTTTGTTTATGCTTTTCCCAGCTGTTCAATGTTTTGTTTATTAATATTTTTTTTATTTTTTTGATATGTCAATAAAAAAATTGAAGAATAAGCTGTAATAAAAAAAATAATCTGGTGATTTATGAAGCAAACAAACTTTTTAAATTATTGCCATAAAAACATTTTTGTGTTTTTAAAACGTCATAATTGTTTGATTGCTCATTTAAAAAAATCTCAGACACTTTTCACTGATGTTTTTTGTTTGTTTGTTTTGTTTAACTCTTATTAAAAATCAAGTTATTGATATTTTGTTCCTGTAGTGCTTCATTATGACCACAAGAGGGAGACAAACATCTAAAGTTATTTTTAAAGCTAATACAGTTTTTATTGAAAGCAAATACAAATATTAAAACATGAAACAAACAAAAGATAGAAATATTATTTATATAAAATTATTAAGTGCGTGTGATATTTGTTTGCAGTTTTATAGATTTTTTGTGTAAAGACAGAAAATGTTGTGAAGTAAAGTTTGAAAACACAAAAATAAGTTGTTTTTTCCCCAATGTGTAAAAATGTTCATCTTAAAAAACAACGAAGCTTTAAAATGTTTTATTTGTGTAAAATCTGCAGGAAAAATAAAATAATTTGACTTTAGAAGAATTGTTTGAACAAAATGTTTTAGATGTTTTAATACGTCCACATTTAATCATTTTGTTCTCATTTTTCAACTTTACTTATAGATTTCCTGTAACTTTAGATTTTAAGAAAAAAAATTTAATATTTTTTTAGCTCATTCAAACTTTAAATTAAAAACATCAAAATCCAGTTTTATGTCTGTAATAAATCAACATTATTTAAATAAAGTTATGTTTTTTGTTTGATTTCATCTTGAATTTCTGCTTAAACTACTTTATGACAACAGTCGAGAAATAAAAAAGTAAAGAAATGAATAAAAACAATAACACAAATGGTTTATTGTCTCGTTTATTAATCTTTAAATTTAAATTACTGTTTATTTAAACACATTTCATCAAATTTACTGTTAAAAATTACAAAATTTGAAGGCGTGTCTCTAAAACTGACTCAGAAATGATAAACATGAATAAACTCTTGTTGTTGTTATTATTAGTAACAAACAAATAAAAAGCACTTGTTATTTTCTGCTTCTATTTTGGTTTCTGCTGCTGACGTGGAGTGACGCTGGAGGTGAAGGTGTGGATTTATCAGCTGAAGCTGGAGGAAGCGCGAGACGAGACTTCCGGTCGAACGCAGCCTGCCGCCTTCAAAATAAAAGTATCGTTTTCATTTTTTTCAAATTTCTTAAGATTTGAGTTGGAATAATTCTGTGAGCACAAAGTCAAAGTCCATCCTCCACGCATCCATCCATCCATCCATCCATCCATCCATCCATCAATCCATCAATACATCCATCTTCTTCTTCCAGAGTCAAGCTTTGGGGCAGCATCTTGATCATGGAGGTCCAGACATCTTTCTCCACAGCCACCTCTTCCAGCTCTGCTGGGAGGACTCCAAGGTGTTTCCACACCAGCTGAGAGACGTAGTCTCTCCAGCGTCTTCTGGGTCTTTTCTGGGACTCCTCCCAGTTGGACATGTCCAGAATACTTCTCCAAGGACGTGTCCAGGGTCCATCCTTACCAGATGTCTGAACCACCTCAGCTGACTTCTCTCGGTGTGGAGGAACAGCAGCTACGAGTCTCTCCTGATACATCAAGCCCTCGTTCTTTCATTCATAGGGGGAGGGTAGAAACGTAGACTGACCAGTAAACTGAGAACTTTTCCTTGCAGCTCAGCTCCCTATTCACTACAATGGACCAGCACAGAGTCCACAATACTACTGAGGCTGCACCAATCCATCTGTAGATACTTGAACTCCTTCACTGGAGGCAGAGCCTCAGACTGAAGAGAACAATCCACCCTCAGACTGAGGATTCAGATCTGGAGGTGCTGAGTCTCATCTCAGCCGCTTCACACTCAGCTGCAAACCACTCCAGTGAGAGCTGGAGATCACGATGACACCACCAGGACCACATCATCTGCAAAGAGCAGAGATGGACTCCTGAGGCCACCAAACCAGAAACCCTCCACCCCCTGGCTGCACCGAGAAATTCCGTCCATAAAAGTGCTGAACAGAATCGGTGACAACGGGCAGCTCTGGTGGAGTCCAGCTCCCACCATGAAGGGGTCCGACCTGCTACCAACAATGTGAACCAAACTCTCGCACCACTTGTACAAGGACCAAACAGCCCATCGCATCGGGCCCCCAACACCATACTCCCGGAGCACCCTCCACAGTACCCCAGCCGAGGAACACAGTTGAAAGCCTTAGTCCACAAAACACGTGTGGACTGGATCCAAACTCCCATGACCCCTCGAGGACCCTAGTGAGGGTAAAGAGCTGGTCCAGTGTTCCATGGTCAGGACAGAACCCGTACTGTTCCTCCTGGATCTGAGGTTTGACCAACGATTGGACTCATGTCTCCAGTAGACCTTTCAGGGAGGCTGAGGAGAGTGAGGCCCCTGCAATTGGAGCACAGCCTCCGGTCGCCCTTTTAGAAGAGAGGACCCACCACCCAGTCTGCCGAGGATGACCTCCATGACCTCCACGACCTCCATGACCTCCACGACCTCCATGACCTCCACGACCTCCATGACCTCCACGACCTCCACGACCTCCATGACCTCCACTACCTCCATGACCTCCACGACCTCCATGACCTCCACGACCTCCACGACCTCCATGACCTCCATGACCTCCACGACCTCCATGACCTCCACAACCTCCACGACCTCCACGACCTCCATGACCTCCACAACCTCCATGACCTCCATGACCTCCATGACCTCCACGAGAAGCACCAACAACCTTGTGGCCACAGCTCGAGGCAGCTGCCTCAACAAGTGAGGTGCTGAACATGACACATGGCAACATGAAAAGTTATTAATGAATAAATAAAAAATTACATGAGTAAAATAAAAATAATATATATTATTATTATATTGATCATTAGAGGAGAACATTATTATTATTTATCTAATTAAAGGTTAATTGTAATAATAATTTGGTATAAAATATATTAGATTTTTGGTATTTTCTATTTTAAATTTGATTTTTTTTTGGTTGGTTTTATTTGGTTTTGATAGATTTTTTTATTTTGTTCATTTTTGAATAATTTTTTTTGTTTCAGTTTGTTTGTTTCAATATATTTAGGTTTTATTTGTTACTTTAATTAAATTTTTTACGTTTTATTTGTTGATATAATTTGTTTTATTATACATTACACTTATATATATATATTACACTTTTTAATCAAATATTTTTCTTGTTTGTTCCTTTTATTTAAAATTTTCTTTGACTTTTACGTGTTGTATTTATTTTTATTTGATCATACCATTATACTTTAATAAATAGTTCTTCCTTTATTTTGTATTTTTTATTTATTTTAGTCGTTTTTTGTTTTGTTATATTGTTTGTTTGTTTGTTTGTATTCTTTTATTTTGTTTATTTGTTGGAATGAGGCTTTTATTGTGGAAGTCCGTGTCCGGCGTCTTGTTTTTTGTTGTGAACCGAGAAAAGAAGGAGGTGATGGAGCAGGGAGGAGGAGGAGGAGGAGGAGGAGTGTTTGAAGTGTTCCGACCTGCAGCCTCAGTGACGAGGAGGAGGATGAAGATGATGAAGAGGAGGATGGAGTGATTCGGACGGTTCGGGAGCCCCTCAGCTGCTCCGGAGTCAAACCAGCCCCGCGCGCTCAGAAGCAGAGAGACACACCGAGAGGACACGCGGTGACACGCGCACGGAGATACGCGCACGGTGAGTCCGCAGCCATCCTAACCGCGGAGCCTCACAGCGACAGAGGCGCACCTGAGCCGGGTCAGGTCCCCCCCACCCCTGGTCCGGTTTCACGGTCCAGTTCTAGGTGTTTGCCGCGTGCGTGCGTGTGTTTATGTAATGGGAGTGGGTGCACGTGTCCAGCTGTGCGCGTGCCCAAGCATGTCCTCAGTGGAGCGCAGTCAGTGATTACCATGATGAGAGGAGGTAATGAGCGCGTGGAGCTGCAGCTGAAGGCAGAACAAAGCCGCACAGCGGCGCGCGCGTGCGCGTCTCTAAAGCCGTGACATGCCATCAAACCAGTTAAAGAAATACTGAGCTGATGATTTATCCTGTCTCAAATCTGAGCCGTGAACAAAAGTGATGATCAGCTGTTTCACTCCTTCAGCTGCTTCACTCCTTCAGCTGTTTCACTCCTTCAG